TAAGTTTCTAAAGAAACTGTGGTGCTGCGTCGGTGGGGGTAACAAGGTAATTTGGTAATATCAACTGAGTTGAAATTGTAAATTGGCCACCGTAAAGGGTTAAAAAGCTGACGTTTCGAGCGCTAGCCCTTCGTCAGAGCGAAACATCAGCTTTTTAACCCTTTACGGTGGCCAATTTATAATTTCAACTCAGCTGATATTACCAAATTACCTCATTCTGTTACAGTTGTTTTGATTACTTGTACCGAAATAAGCCTCCAGTCTCCGCTAGAATTTAACAGGTTTATTTAATCCAGTCAGAAAAAAATTCGTATCTCTCTTTTGAAGAGTTACGCAAAACTTAATAGCATCTCTTGTACGATTCGGAATTTAATCTTCTACTTTTGCCTCGATAAAACGCAAGGCAGCCATTTTGAAATTTAGCGCCCCTGCCATAATCACCTCGCGCAAAGTGTTTATGGCGAGATATGACACAATTCTCGACCAATCAGAGCGCGTGCATCTCTTTAATCACCAGAACAATTATACTAAAAATATATAGTAAACTGTGTGAGGCAAGCGGGTGGAAGGCTAGCACAAGTAACTGATCCTCAAAACACTCACAAACAACTATATGTTGCGACGACCAACAGTGATCGTCTCATGATTCGATAAAGGAACTTGTTTCTCAAAATTATTTTCGGGAATCATTTGAATAAATGGTCAGGAATGTGCTCGACCATCTTTAAGGAAGAGCGCAGACACAACTGCTTCTTAGCAGTGTCACTTCCGGCAAAGCACAATTTTGTCGGTATCACTTAAGAACAAATCATTAGTTGTTGGGGGTGATTGGCAGGTCTCGTAGTATGCTCTTCGCCAATAATAAGATGAAAAAATGAAAGAATTGCCATAGATTTTGTTGCTCCATTTGTGTAAAAGATAGAGGAGGAAGTAAGTGAGAACTTACAATTCAGAGGAATAGCTTGTGATTAAAGCTTCAGAAACAAAGAGCTTAATTGAACCAGCTAAACTACGAGATGACCAGCACAAAACTGCCATTCTACGCCTTTTACAAACATAAAGGGGTGAGGTACAACTGACATACCGGTCAATGCAAAAGGAAACTAATATCAGGTCAAACTTACCATAACTGTTTGATCCTTAGAGAGTGCTTCAGGTGCACTGTAAATTGCAGCCCCTGGAGCGGCTGTCATGGTCTGTTGCTTAAAATTAGCTGTACCGTAATCTGACACTTTAGCTCGCCATTGGTCACCTTGAAGCCATAGCAATACATTTGCACTGCTGACGTCGCGGTGAATGATGGGGGATGGTTGCTTTTGATGAAGGTAGTTGAGTGCCCGAGCAACATCCAGAGAAATAACGGACCGATCAGTAGCTGAAAGAGGTTGCCTGGCGAGGGATTTCTGCTCTATTAATGCTCGTAAACTTGTTTCCATAAGCTCCGTAACAAACAATGGATTCTCTTCGTCGTTTGTGGCTCCAATGAACTGCAGCAGGCAAGGGTGACGGCACCTTGAAGCAATATCCATTTCTCGCTCAAACAATCTTCGATTGTAAGGGGAAAGAATCAAATCATGGATCTGTTTCACAGCTACGGCACAGCCACAATACTTTCCTTCCACAACACTTCCCCAGGCTCCCCTACCGAGGCATTTATTGGTCAGCTGAATTTGATCTCGTATTATGACCCAATCAGGTGACTCCTGACGCTGACGTTCACTTAACGCTAATTGCTGAGCTGCTGAGAGACTCATTTCGAGTTCAATCACTTCCTGGTTTTTGGTCATTAACCGTCTCTCAAAGATTGTAACCTGATTTTTTAAACCAGCAATTTCTTCATCTTTTTCTTGTAGTTGTCCCTTGACATTTGTCAACTGCTGCGTCGTCTCTCTAACTTGTACTCCTGAGTTCACTAAAAGTCCATCTTTCTTGAGTAACTGGCTTTGTAAGAATGTCACTTGTTCCTCTTTTTTCCTCACTAGGGCATCTGACTTCTCTAACAGATCATGATTGGTTTGTAACTGTCCCTGAACGTTTGTCAGCTGTTCCTCCATCTTCCTCACCTGTGCTTCGAAGGTCACTAACTGATCATGCTTCTCTTGCAACTGTTTCTGTAATCTGTCATGTTGTTCTTGCTTTTCCCTTAGCAAGCTGGCTTTTTCCGACTCTTTCCCTTGCAGCTCTGCTCGGAGTTGTGTCACCTGCTGTTCCATCTCTCTCAATCGGTGGAGTAAACTCTTTTCTGGCTCGTTATCATCTCTCGGTTTCTCTCGCAAGCTAGACAGCTGACTTCCTAGGTCTTGTGACTGTTGTTGCTTTCCTTAGGGGAACGAAGCACATAAATGATAAAATGGGAAACGGGGAATCCTTTCTGGGGAAATCGTTATGTCTCTACCTAATATATCTTAACAGCTCATTGATCTTGTTAACATACACCTTCTTGAATTCGCTGTCATGTCCCCAAAGTTTCCATCGTGGCGATAAGGAGAGATGTCTATGGAGGTATCTGGTCGAGCAATTTCTTCGTTACAGAACGGAAACAATTTTTGCCTAGTCAATGAAGGACATTCAACGCATACGCACTGAATTAACTTAACGGAAACGCTGGTTTAGACGGCACGTATTTTGCACAAGGTGCATGTACTTGGATCACTTTATGTTTAAAACTTACCAAGTGTTTTTCGTCTGCTAGTTCCAGTTTGACCACAATCATCTGGGGGAATGCTTTGGAAATGACCACCTTTGAAGTGCGAATTTTCGGCACTGTCCTTCCCTTCCTCATCTTGGATGATGACGTAATTATCTTGGTGATCAGGAAGACTTTTATGTCTCACAAACTCTCTAAGCATCAGACGTTGTTTCTCTATAAACTCCTGTGAATCGGTTTTGCTGGATTCTCCAGCTGCCACCATGATTTTTATTTCAGCAGAGGTCATTGAATTTGTTCTTCTTAACTTCCTGACAGATTCCTTACTAGTACCTAAGAAACACATATAAAATAAATCCACTGTGTTTTCCTCACCGCTATGCTTCAAGCTATGTTCTATGCTTTACAATGATATATTTATCCCTTGATGCCTTCCAACTTAAAAAATTTTTGACAATTAATTTGTCGCAAACCATTTACACTAATACTTCTACCTGCAAAAAGACCTTTTATACAAAATATCATAACAACAGGGTTAACTTTAAACGCTATTCCAATTTCGCCTATAATTTGGAACACTTTTGGCAACCTTTCATAATGGGAATTCTTCCAGTGACAGATCAGAAATTCGTGAATTGCAATGCACCTTACATAACATCATTTAGGAATTTGGTTCTCATTGTTAGAAAGGCTTCTTCACACCAGTGATGTGATCGTCGTAGTCGCAACCACAATCGTAAGTAGCCACAAGAGTGTTACGACTTAGTGTGAATCTCTAAACCGAAGTGCGGGGAAAGCTTCCATGTTTGTTCCCAGACTTTTTATAAGAATCAACAAGACACCCGAACATGAACCTATGATTATATTGCTTCTTTGAATTTTCATTTTAAGGTGACGTATAAGCGAAAAGAAGACAACAAATTCCCATGTTTGTCTTTTTATCTTTTCACCTTAAAAATCTCACCACGATTCATTTCAAAGACCTGGATATTTTCTGACGCCATCTGCCGAACACTCGTCTTCGAAGGTTGCCATAACGGTTTGCTTGATCTTCATAGGGAACACTTGTGGCAAGAAACGTGATTGGTTCGTTCCTGCAATTATGCTTTTGATTTCGAAAATCAAAAATCCCAGATTACGTCTGTGATTTTTGATGGACACCTGGTTTTAATTTTGCTCAGGACTACAATTACGATTGCGATAATTATGATTACGACGGTAATACGAACTGACCTTAAAATGTCCAACGCAATGGTATACAGATTATTTCAACAATTAAAATCCCCAGATCTGATCGTCATTCTACCCTCTAGCAGCTACTCATTTCGAGAACTTGACGCTAGATTACGATACAACTTCTACCTGACAAGTTTTAGTATTCTCATGTTGGGTAATCATTAGAGGGAGAGGTTACATGTTAATTATTTCTGCATATTAAAGGTTTAATTAGCTTTTTGTCAACAAGAAGATTAGTTTTCAAGTTTCTCAACCTCCAAATGCTCGGAGGATATTAAGTGACAGAAAAATTAATTAATAAATTGTGTCTAGAGAACGATTTGGAGATAAAGGAAACGAAACGCATTCCTGCATTTATCAACCGCCTCCCGGTTAGCTCAATGGATAGAGCGCTGGACTGTTGTGCGGGAGGTCGAGGGTTCGAGCCCCGGCCGGACCAACACTCAGGGTCTTAAAATAATTGAGAAGAATTTGCTACCTTTCTATAACATCAGGAAATGGTTAGATATTCTAGTCTTCTCGGATAGGGACGAATACATGGAGGTCCCGTCTCCTGCAGGGTTAGAGGTAGGAGACGTTAATTTCCCACACACGAGATTACTGTGTGATGGATGTCCTCCCCTGGGGTGGGATGGGTGGGAGGGTGGACTAGCACGAATGGTTCCTATGTTCCTTTCTAGTCCTTCCCCACTGTAAAACTTAATGCAATGAAAATGGACTAAATTAAATTAAATCAAATTAAATTAAAAATCAAATTAAATTAACTGTAAACTTGACCTGTTGGAACGCTTTCAAAGTCCAATGATATCACATCCAATTCCTCTTCGTTAATTTGCTCCGACTGTTCTTGAGCTTCTTGCCCTGTAGCTTGTTCTAGGTTCTCATCAAAGTACTTCTCAGGTATGACAGTTTCCACTGGTACAAATAATGCATAATCTCGCTTACAAACAAACTTCAGAAAGCCCATTCTTTTACCGCAACCAGTTCCCAGTCTTTCATCCTAGATAAAAATGTGATAGACAGACACACTTACTTTTAAAACACCACATTGCCAATTCGAAGTCTGGGTACTCTATTACAACCAGTCTAAACTATATCGCCTGTATTTGGACTTTTAGTTTCAGTGGGTTTGCTTGTAGAAAAAAAAAGCAACAACAACAATAACACAAAAACAACTAAAACTAAAGGACCGAAAAATAAAATTAACACTGTATCTTTGACTAAAAACCTCAAAATGTTAATTTACTTAAATGTAGCAATTGCTCGCCTCAAATTGACTAATCAGCGTTTGGTCGGTGTTAGACTATGTTGGTTAAGAACGCTATACTTAGTACTAACTGTACTAACATTTCGTTTCACCTTATTGAGGCTTTTTAGACGAAGATAAGGTGTTCATTTTATGAATCAGTCCTTTATTCCCGAACGTCACACATTCCTATATATTAAAAAAAATTACCATCCCTGTAGCATCAATTAGGTGGTCTGTGATCTGTGATTCAACCCTTTGATTTCTATTGCAGATGAAGCTGGCCTAACTTTGGTTAAATTCCGAATAATTTGGCAGGTAAATATCGATCCCTTTATTGGGTACGTTAAATCTTTGAACAACTCTGGCAATCACAACTGTATCTATGAATAGCTACCGTCCCTAGTCTATCATTCAGACGAGGCTGAGGAGGGTGGTGAATCCTTGCCTACGGATCTAAGCTGGGAATCAAAAGCACAATAATGGCAGTGTATGGTTAACAAATGTTTGACTCAGTAAATTGGTTTTGCAGGTAAAGGGTGGCAAAGGGTTTATGCGTGACGCGTGATGAGCGCCAAAATTTGTACGTGACGCGTGAAAGTTACTTAAAAAGAAACGTGATTCGTGAATACCTGACTGCATGTGACGCGTGATTTATCGCCTGAGGTATGCGTGATTCGTGAATTATTTGTTTTAGGTCGTAATATTTCATTTTCCTGAGGTGTTTCCAACATTAACTGATTCCAAACAACCTGAAACGTGTGCCCGTTGGCGTCAATGGCATTTCCGTCACAGTCAAAGATCAGAACTTGACAGGTCATCATCTTTGACAGGCTTGCGCAGCCGGTTTCGTGACAGTCAGTGACCTTTGAGATGTGCTCTTGCTGTTTATCGCTGCAGCATGGAAAACGAAATCGAAATCCTGTCCTCAAGGTTCTTGTCTCTTTCTTTCTTTGCAAGTCCAGGGGATCAGCAGCTACGCAAGCTATTCACAAGGAGAAGTTTAATGTGCCAATAGATGCCAGTCATAAAGACTTACATAATTTTACCAAGCACATGCTTGCATTTACCGATCTCAAGCAAATTGCCTTAAAGAAAGGTCTCGGACAAAATCCTGGGGTCACAATCGCTCGGGTAAAAAAAAAAAAAATTAAATCGGCGGCGTAGATGTTTTCTCCATTCGCACTCAAGATGCTTGGCCGAGCGTGGCCGAGTGGTAAGGTGCTGCACTTGTAATCTGGTGTACCGGGCTCAAGTCCTCAACCCTGCCATTCACTGGATTTGTTCTTGGTTGCCCCTAGTTCAACTCCTCGGCTGCGCTCTGTAAATAACTCACTGGTCTGCCTCCTGCCAGTGGAAATTTTTAAGCACTTAGTTTACATTGTGGCTGAAAAGCCCAAAGGGGAAGCTTCAATTTACGCATTTTTAGTTCTTCATCTAATTTCCTGGCCTTTGGACTGGTAACGGGATGCTTCAAGGTGAGTGATCATATACTTCAGATATCTTTAGACTCTTTAAACTTTCACGTGTAAAATTTAGTCAGATTTATTTCATCCAGTTAACTTGCTTTTGTACAGACAACTGCATCTAATTTAGTGAAGGCATGAAAAAAATGCGTAATGGAGTCGGAATGAAGATTAAATTTTGTGATGATCTAAGAATATCTAGGAAAGATGTCAAAGATCATTTCATCGATCATATGTGGTCTATAAATAAGAAGTATACAGCTGACAAAGGTGTGCCGAGAAGACCGTTTTTATGCTAATTATTTTCCACTACTCAGATCTGTTCATTTCATACACTCGGGTGAAAAACGCTTTATTTGACATTTCAAAGCCAATGTTGGATGACTTTACTGATTTTCTCTCTCACATTTTATGTAGCGTCTGTGGTCCAACGGGTAACAGCTTGGGTTGCTGGCGTGCTGGTCTTAAAGCTAGTTCATGAAGAAATGTATGCAAAGGGGATCAGAAAAGGGGATTCCTACGTGCGAAATGCTCGGCAAGAGCAAGAGCTGTCACAGTTAAAAGGTCTGTGATTTCTGGAAGTGCATTTTCTTACACCATAGAGGTCTGGTCGAATGGTAATTTTTTGAGCGCAACAGTCACCAAGTTTTGTGATTACACACTGCTTTGTGATAAGGTTCAAAGCCTGTGCTTATCTACTGATAGATATCTTCTATTAGCACACAACAAACGAATCACAAAGTCAAAATGGCAAATCAGGAGGTGAAAGAGTACGCTATGGCTACTCTGACTAATGCAGGGCAAGCAAGTTCCGACATAAAGGCAGTTTCCCCACTTTCAGACGGGAACTGAGTAGCTTTCACCGACCAGACAAGGCGTCAAATAATGCACCTTGACAGAAACGG